CTGATGAAGAACTTCCAGAGTAACAGGGTAAAAGAGGTTCTCAATAATTATTCGGAGCACAGGGCTCTGCCCGGGGAGGACTGTGCCTTCATTAGAAGAAGCTCCAGGAAGGGGCAGGCCTCCTGACTGGACAGCACTGACAGCCTGCAGTGCAGCTTGGGCTCTCTATAGAACAGTCCAAAATAAGAAGCTTTGATTATTTAGAAGCATCATATGAATCCTAAAATTTAGCTGATATAGAGCAATATGAAGTAATGTGATTAAATTAATATATATATATATATATTTGCACACACACACACACACATACAATCTGGATACACACATACTAAACATGTAATCAGTCAAGAGTTCAAGACCTGCCCTCTTATCACAATGATAAAGTTGCTTAAATTTACTTTAAAACAAAACAGGAAAATACCAGAAAATTTAGAAATAATTTTTATTTCCTAACTTTTAAAAGACAATGGGGAGAAAAGACATTATGAAAACAATATTACAGACTACAGCATAGGGTGTTAGAACCCAAACAATAATAGGCAGACAAACTTCTAACTATCCTTCACTTTAAAAAAAAAATCCTTCACTTAAAGGATGCAGGGCACTCTAAAAAATATGGCTGGTTCCAGAACCAGGGCAGAGATCAGTATAAAACATCTTTGTTTCTGTGGGGTTTTGGGGGAGTCAGAATGTAAGGAAGTGTTCAATGAATGCTAAGAACAAATCAAACTACATAAAAGCCTCCAGCATAAAGAGCAGAGCACAGTGGCTCATATCTATAATCCTAGAACTTTGGGAGCCTGAGACTGAAGAATTGCTTGAGGCCAGGAGTTCCAGACCAGCCTGAGCAACACAGTGAGACCCTGTTTCTACAAAAAATAAAACAAATTAGCTGGGCATAGTGCCACATGCCTGTAGCAGCTGTTACTCAGGAGGCTGAGGCAGGATCACTTGAGCCCAGGATTTTGAGGTTGCAGTGAGCTATGATGATATGCTGGACTCTAGCTCAGGCAATAGAACAAGACCCTGTCTCAAGCAAACAAACAATTAAACAACAACAAACAAACAACAAAGTAACTTTATAGCAGAGAAGCCTGGCAAAACCAGTCTAATCAAAGAATACACTATCAGCAATGCAACAAACTGAAATCATGTGCTACCTAATAAGATGCAGTAAGAGTAAAGCATTATTTCTATGATGTTCCTGTCAAAGACACATAGATAACTGAATTGAATCTTGAAAATTGAAAGATATTCTTAAAAATAAATTCCCTGTAATTTCCAACAACGTTAAGGTTATGAAAGTCAAAAGAGACTAAAAAGACATGATAAGTAAATGGAACATGTCATTCTGAATTGGATCCTTTTGCTACAGCAAATATTACTGAGACAACTAGCAAAAACTGAATGGGGGCTGAGGACTAGAGAGAAGTAATGTATCAATGTTAACCTTTTGACGCTGATTTTCTATCCTGGTTAGTGGAAGAAAGTACTTGTTTGAAGGAAATGCACACTAAACAGTATTAGACACCAAAGAAGGACCAGGTTGGTAATTTATTCCCAAATGGTTTAAGAAATCAAAACTTCATTGTACTCTATGGACAACTTTTTTCTAAGCCTGTGAACATCCCAAAGTTTAAATCAATTACTTAAAAAATGAAGCGAAGGCTCGGCGCCTGTAGCACAGTGGTTACGGCGCCAGCCGCATACACTGAGGGTGGTGGGTTCAATCCCGGCCCAGACCCGCTAAAAACAATGACAACTCCAACAAAAAAATATCTGTGCATTGTGGCGGGCACCTGTAGTCCCAGCTACCTGGGAGGCTAAGGCAAGAGAATCGCTTAAGCCCAAGAGTTGGAAGTTGCTGTGGAGCTGTGATGCCATGGCATTCTACCCAGGGTGACATAGTGAGATTCTGTCTCCAAAACAAAAAAAGGGGGGAAAGAGAGAAAATTGAAAATAATCATCACTGAAATAAAATGCATGTTTCTTATATTTTAAGAAAGGTGATAATTAGTACATATTTGTGCACAAAACGAAGAATCCTACCACTTTACTGTAGCTATTTTTTTAACATATTGTACTCAGTTGCAATTTTAAAGATCACAGCATTTGTGTACTATTTTGAATTGCTACACTCTGTGTGTTTTGTTTCATGATTGTAATTTTTTTGGGGGGGTTGTTTACTGTTTACTATTTAATTTGATACCTCTCTAATGTGAGACATATAAGTAGTTTTCAACATTTTGGTAGGCTAAGTAACAGAAAAATAAATACCTTTCTAAAAACTATCAGTCTTTTACTTTCTGTATGCTTAACATCTGAATTTCTACTTTTATAGTAGTTTACATCCTTTTTTATTATGTGTGTATACAGCCCTTTTAATAACATCATTTTTATGACATATACAGATTTTTTTTGAAAGCATCCCTGTAAAGTGCTTTGATGTCACAGCTCACAGCAACCTCAAACTCTTGGGCTTATGCTATTCTCTTGCCTCAGCCTCCCAAATAGCTGGGACTAGAGACACCTGCTACAACACCTGGCTATTTTTTGGTTGTAATTATCATTGTTGTTTGGCAGGCCTGGGCTGGATTCAAACCTGCCAAGCACTGAGCCCATATACAGATTTTTAAGTATCAGATAATAATCAAACTGCCAAGTGTTCAAGTTTCCAAAGCAGTATTATCTTTGCAAATATATGAACAATTATCTGAATATCATTATCAAAACTATGCTATTATACACTCAAGTGTATAGAATATTGGGCACCCCAGGTCCCACTAAAAACATGGCAGTTTATCTCATCTATTTTATACTTTACACTGGGTTTGTCAGTAAGATTTTTTTGGACAACGAGAGTGCTACTGCTTTTAACAGCTTAAAAACTAATTCATACTTCTCCAGTAACAATGCAGAAAGAGGAATCAATTAAAAAATACCCAAAATTGACAGAGGGTTAGAATTAGCAGACAATGGTATTAAATCACTTACTGTAACTGTATTCCACACACTGAAAAAGTTAAGTAGAGACATGGAAGATATAAACAGTGCTGCCCAACAGAATTTCCTGTTGTGATAAAAATGTTTGCTATCTACACTGTCCACTTGATAACAACAAGCCACAGGTGGCTAGTGAGCACCTGAAATGGGACCACTGCAACTGAGAAACTGAGTTTTAAAATTTTATTTTATTTTAATTAATTTAAATTTGGCCAACGTCTACCATATTGGATCTCACAGCTCTAGAGTGTCCAGGGAAAAACATCAGCACAGTGAAGTTTTTAGTGTAATAACTGTTTCTATTTCTCTTAAATTGGCTAAAAAATCTTCTCAAAACTAAGCATATACAATCAAAGTAAACTTAACCTTGCTGGCCTCTTTACTTCCTTATGCCATGTATCATTCCATCAATTCTTTTTAATAAACAATTCTATATGAGTATTTGCTGTTGCTAGTACTGTTTCTGTTATTATTGTTCCTTTTCCTTCACCTCTTCCTCTTTGGTAATAAGGGATATCATAAATGAAAAAACTGAGAACCTGTGGTATTATCATTCTAGAGATTTCAATATACTCTGGAATGGTACTTCATAGAGCATTAAGTGCAAAGCTCTCTATATAGCAGGCATGAAGGACATGGTTTTGACAATAAAAATCTGGGACAACATCTGAAAAAATAAGTTCGATTTTGTGAGACATTCTATAGTTTGAATTTATTTATTTATTTATTTATTTTGAGACGAAGTCTCAAGCTGTCCCCCTGGGTAGAGTGCTATGGCATCACTCACAGCAATCTCCAACTCCTGGGCTCAAGTGAGTCTCCTGCCTCCGCCTCCCAAGTAGCTGGGACCACAGGCACCCGCCACAACGCCTGGCTATTTTTTTGGTTGCAGCCATCATTGTTGTTTGGTGGGCCTGGGCTGGATTCGAATCTGCCACCTTAGGTGTATGTGGCTGGCGCCTTAACCACTTGAGCCACAGGCACCGAGCCTATAGTTTGAATTTTTAATTAGGCAAAAGCACTTAAACAAAATAAATAAGAAATGCCTCAAAATATGAAAATACATCTGATACTAAAAATTATAAAGCAGCAGAATTCCTATATGGAAAATAATATCAACGGTAGTATAATCAGGAAAACAAAGGTTTTATTTAGGTGGGATAAGGACAGATATTTCATGTAAAATGTAACATGTCTGGGTAATACAAAGACATTGCTCAAATTTAGAAGACGGAAATTAACTAAAGTATAGGTCGTAAGTGTTCAGTCTGATTATTTTTTAGAAAATTTTTAGGGAAAAATCCTTCCATACTCATCTCTTTTCAGATTTATAAACTTCTATCCACAAGGTTAGGAAAAACTATACACACACACACACACACACACTGCATTATACTAATACAATAATGACTGTCATTAACACAATCATTTCTCAAATGCTTTACCTCAGAATATGTTTTAAATTTTTGTAGTTATAATTTTAGCTTAAATCAAGAGGACAAAAATACCTGATATTTACCTAACTTTCTGGCAAGTGTATCTGTAAGCTGTGCATAGGTGCAACAGCTTGCTATTCAGAGAACATAAAGAAAATGAAACACTAATCTATCAGCTTTGTAAAAAGATATATGGTACTTTCAAAATATGCAAACGGGTAGCCTCAATTTTAATGTTAGGTTTCGAGTGAGACTTTGACTAAAAGAAAAATTATTATATTTTATCAAACATCAATGCATATAAACTGCACAAAAGTAACAAAATGGAAAGGGTACTGAGAAGAAATGAAGGCTACCTAAGAATAAACTAGGTCATTTAGGCTGGCTTTGGTTGCCAAGCAACTGGGATTTCTCACTGTTTCCCTTTGGAATAATCCAATCTTTAAGAATTTTATTAAATTGTTTTTTCTCCTTTAAGATTTACACAAACATACTCAACAATAGCACTAATGGGAAAACTGCAGGACTTAACATGAAGGAAAATTAAAAACTCTACTGAAAGACATAAAAGGAAAACAAAATATAACTTCCTGAGCAAAAGGATTAGAGAGGGCCAGGCATAGTAGCTCAAGCCTATAGTTCCAGCTACTTGGAAGGCTGAGGCAAGAGGATCACTTAAGCCCAAGAGTTTGAAGTTGCTGTGAGCTATGACACCATTGCACTCTACAGAGGGCAACAAAGTCAGACTGTCTCAAAAAAAAAAAATCAGAGCGTAATATACATATGCTAATAATACCCCAAATTAATCCATAAAAGCAACTCAATAACTCCAGTTATGTGTTGGGTGGGTAGAAATTACAAAATAATTCTAAAATCTATCCAGAGAAACCAATTAATTTTTGAAGAGACAGTTAACAAATAGAGCCTTGACAGACAATATATTAAGCTACAGTGCTCACATTCACAGCATGAATGGAATCCAGGCTTTGAGAATCCAAAGCTAGTCCAGGTTAGACACAGAGTGCATATCACGTGAGCAGCACACATGATGGCAGAATCTACAGGCACATCTAACAACTGTGTGTGCTCATATATACCATATGCATGCTATAAGCAAGTACAGCATGTGTATAGAAAACCAGAATATGATTAAGAAGAAGTTTCACATGGCTGGACAATAAGTAAGTTATTCAAAAAATAATGCAGAGAAAACCATTCTCTTAAGAGTAAAAAAGGCCAAAGCCCTACCCCCATTCTGCACATCCAAAAAATTTCTAATAGAACAAATATTTAAATTTTAAAATAAAGATAAGTAAAACATAATAGTATTGGAAGAAAACATAAGTAGATTCTTTTTTTTAACCTTGGTGAGCTAGGTCTTGCTCGCATGGTGCCAAAGTCAGAAAAGACTGTATTATGGCAATCTTTTTTTTTTAATTGAGACAGAGCCTCAAGCTATCCACCTGGACAGAGTGCCGTGGCATCACAGCTCACAGCAACCTCCAACTCCTGGGCTCAAGCGAGTCTCCTGCCTCAGCCTCCC